ACGTTGTGCTGTGTGCTTACTTACACAAATACAACCTGCTGAGTCCCTTTTTATTATTTGTGATTCCATATTTTAAAAGTAAAATCACTGAAATAGAAAGTTCACTTATGGAACCCAATGTTAGATTTCAAATACAAAAAAATTTATAAAAAGCATCAGTACATTTGAAGAGCAGTTATGTTACCCACAGAACACAGAGGTCAAAACAGGAACTAAGAAAAGCAAATACAATCTTCAAGAAACATGGGCCAGCACAGGGCCCACAGGGCCCACAGACACAGGCATAGATGAGTCCTAACAGAGATGGTAGGATAAGAGGAAAGAAATTTGAGATTATAAGTTCTCTGGACATGCTTGTATTCATTTCTTTTCTGAAAAATAGCATTAAGTAAGAATTGTTGCAATGAAGAATTCATAATGTGTCATATACAGTGAGCATAACAATAATGGCCTATAGGAAGGGAAAGTAGTACTTTATGGAAGCAACCTTCCTACTGCAGTTACAGTGAAGCCACGACAAACCCGAGGAAGACCAGGATAAGACAAGATGTCCTTGGTACACCTTAGAAAGGACATGATAATTTTATTATAGCAGTGAAAGGAATTGTCACAGAAATAAGATTATCAAAATACTCAGTAATGATAAAACAGATTAAAGATGAATGAAGGAGTTAAAAAGGAGAAAACTAACACAAACTATAATTATAAATGAGCCAAATTTTAAGTTATGAGAAAGAATAACATATATTAGTGAATATATTTAAATATATTTATGTATTATATTGTATTATATATATATATATATATAATGAAGTTATATCTCTTGGAATGATAATGTTCCCCCTACGAGCCATAGACTATCTGAAAAAAACCCCACTGCCAGGTATAATAAACCCCCTTTCAAGTCCAAGAGATTCTCAGGACAATACAGGCCTTTGCTATTGCCATGATTCCTTTCAGAAGTAAAGACCCTGTTGCTGAAGCCACCACACACTTCAGACACAGGATTTGGAGGAACTGAGCTGGAACTGGCCTGGAAATTTCCTCCCTAAGGACTAACTCTCAACAACATGACTGCTTAAACAAGACCAGAACAATGAGAATTCGAGAGGACATGCCATCATGGATGCGGGAAATCTCATAAGGCCCTACCCCCAGATGAAGAGCTACATGAATAGCTACTGAGAAGGCAAAATCAGTCTTCTCCAGGGACAAGCCCTCTGAGACATTCTCTGATCACAGTCAGTCCTGCACACAGGTACATATGAGCAACACTAAGTGGACTCAGCAGGTTCTAATTATGTCCAAATATGTTTTTATATATGTGTATGTGTAACAGTAACAATTCAAGAAGAGGTCACAAATTTAATATACATACTGCTTAAAAATTCTAAAGGTTCTGGTATTACAACTAATTTTAGTATTAAACACATCTTTACAACATATTTCAATATATATATTTTAGTGTTAGATATATAATTCATTATATATATGATTTTAGTATTACATATATTTTTAGTATAATAATCTTAATCAAGTGAGGCATTTTCCTCCATTTCTTTACTAATCACTGTTTTATAAATGTTTTAAATGATAAAAAAGTATTTAATAGTAAAATAACTTTAATTAATTTAAAAATAATAGCTCAGGTAACTTTCAGTCATTTGTTTCACAACTTCACATTCTTCCCACCAATGATAGGAACACCCAGTGTTCTAGCTTGCTTTCCAGTTGCTGTGGTAGCCACCATGATGAAGAGCAACTTAGATGGAAAAAGGTCCATTTGTTTTATGCTCTATACTCCATTGTCCAAAAAAGTGAGGGCAGGAACTCCAAGCAGGAACCTGAAGACAGGAACTGAAGCCGAGGCCATGGAGGAGTGCTTCTTACTCTCTTACTCTTTTGGTTTGTTTAGCCTGCTTTCTTAGATAGCCAGGCCTACCTGGTTAGGCATGGTACCACCCACAGTGGGCCAGACCCTCCCACACCAGTCATTGTGTGCCACAGATTATGTCTACAGGCCAATCTGACATAAACAATTCCTCACTCGAGGTTCTGTCTTCACAGGTATGTCTAAGGCATGTGCAGTGTTAAAAGAAACCAACCAGTGCACCCCACTACATTCTGATGGACTCTGGGGGGCATTTCACCATCATTACTTCAGGTACATTGCAGATAAAGCTCAGGGCACTTGGAAGGTGGACATTCTCACCTGAGTGTGTGTGAGAGTTTCTGTCTCGTTATCTGTCATTCAACTGATGACTCATAAATCTTCCATGGACAGTGCTGACTATTTCTAATGAAGCCTTCAGCTCCGAGTCCGAAGCATCCGCCCTTTAACTAAATTGTTGAGGAAGCTTTAAGTACTCTGCTCTCCTATAACTTAGTGAAATTAATGATCCAAAAAATAAAAGTTAAATCCTCTATAGTCCTTTCTTGAAATAAAAGCAGAATATCAAGGGCTGGGAGAAAACACACCTGAAGGCACAGTCACAAGCCAGCGGGCCCAGCGCTTCTCAGAGGAGCCAATAAATCCACATTATTTCTAATGCATGGGGTTCATTAAAAACAGCAGTTATGTTGGTAAAACTACCAGGGCTGTCAACAGGATCTGAAGTGTGATTGGAAGGTGGACACTGAAGTTTTGAGGCAATGGTATAAATATTTTCAACCAGATGTGATCTGGGTTAATGGTAAGAGCATGGGATGTGTAAACAACCCTGGGTTCCCTGTAGCTTGAGTTTTCCTGCCTCACCCATAGTCAGGACAAATCTCTGTCACCCGCCAGTCCCACAACCGCTCAGACCCAACCAAGTAAACACAGAGACTTATATTGCTTCAATCTATATGGCCGTGGCAGGCTTCTTACTAACTGTTCCCATAGCTTAAATTAACCCATTTCCATAAATCTATACCTTGCCACATGGCTCGTGGCTTACCGGTACTGGTGGCTGCTGCAGGCAATCTCCTTCTGCCTTCCTGTTCTTTTATTTCTCTTCTCTGTTAGTCCCCCGCCTATACTTCCTGCCTAGCCACGGGCCAATCAGGTTTTATTTATTGACCAATCAGAGCAATTTGACATACAGACCATTCCCCAGCATAGCCAAGTGCAGACCATCTCGGACACCTACACTCAGGCCCGTGGTCCTAATCATCCTCTATGCGGACCTGCTGAGCAAAGCCATGAGGAACCCGAGAACAGGCTCCCACAGGACACACAGAACATCCCACAGCAGCTCCCAGCTGGACAGTTTAAGTGTTTGATTTTAGAAAGTGTGATAGACAAAAATCCAGATGCACTGGAACAATTGGGGTGTCCCCTGAGCCAAGAGAAAGATAAAAGATTCCTACCTTCTATTTCACAGGTGAACGGAACAATGAGCTCACATAATTTAAAATGATTTGCTTTCAAGAGGTTCCTTCCTCTGAGCTACACGCATATTAATTAGTTCAGCGACTGTTTCCTGAGTTCCCACTACAGGTCTACTACACCTCTAGGGAGGTGTGAGTGCAAGCGGCAGAACCAGAGAGAAGAGAAGCTGTGCACATACCAGGCAGATCACATGACTGGGGTGGAGTTAAAAAGAGCAGTTCACGGGAGGCAGAGGCAAGTGGATCTCTGTGAGTTCAAGGCCAGCCTGGTTTACAGAGCAAGTTCCAGGACAGGCTCCAAAGCTACACAGAGAAACCCTGTCTCAGGAGGAAAAAAAGGAGCAGTTCAAAGGTGTGTATGAAGATACACACAGACACAGGCAGAGAAGCTCATATGCACTCTCTATTCAATAAGCTGTAAGGAGTTCCACCACTCTCAGCTAAGTTTGGGGGAGAACAGAAGTCCTATTTAGTTTTTAAATCCATACAAGTTGAACATATCTAATAGTTTTAATAGATACTCTACTGATAAACATTGACGTTTTTGTAAATTGAAGTTTTAAAAACACCAATGGCTTAAAAGTAAGTTTCCTTAACCCATGTGAATAAGTTTTTACCTATTAAAATGAAAATGATTTTCCAATTAGCTACCAAGGAAAGGGCGAGTGCAATTTATAAACTGGAGATACAGCTAAAATCAATTCAGAAAGTATAGATAATTTTAAAATGAAAGTCTAAGATAGACTATGGAAATGGAAGCAACAATGTAGATGGAATGGATTTCACAGTTGAATCACTAAAGAGCATCACACTCCGGCCGGGCTTGCTAGCAGGCATCTGTGATCCCAGCAGTAGGAGGATGGAAGTAAGACAATCAGAAGTTCAGGGCTATCCTCATCTACACAGTGAGTTCAAATCCAGCCTGTGCTGCTTGAGACACTTTATCCCCCACTCCCACACACCCCCAAAGAGAAACAAATAAAAGGAGTAAAACAAAAAGAAAGGCCTATGAAATTCAACAACTTTCCTAAGGGAGAAATCTACAATTTTGATGGATTCTAAAACAGTTACGCATATCCATGATATCAATTTTAATTATAAAGCAAAAAACACAGGATAAACCAGGACACAAAGATAAAAATACAGGAACAATTTTACATCAGCTCTCTGCAATAAGAAATCACGAGGTCAACAAATAGGATACGGAGGACCTGAACGACTTAGTCAATAGCAGTCTTAGTGCTACGCCTGTGCTCTGCCCATCTTGATAACCAGACACCGTCCTATCTCAAGGACACTTTAAAATCCTATGTGGGTCTTAATGAGTGCAGGAGCAGTTCTGATAAAAGCAGAAATGCTGATCACAACAAATCGAAACTGGGAAGTAACAGCAACATAAAACTGGAAAGGGTTCTTCAAACGGAAAATCAGAACTATCGTAACTACAAGGTACAGGCCAAAGAGAAGGTAAAAATTAAAATCAGATTTTTCTGAATTTTAGTAATAAGAAAATAAGGTGCTTGAAAATTGATGATATACATTCATATGATTAGAGAAAATCATAAATCAGCCTAAATTGTTACACCTAGCCCATTAGTCACCACAATGAAGGAGAAAGACAGCACTTATGGATTCCAAAGATTTTATTAAATCGTCACATAAGCAGGTCACTGATTGGTCAGGGCTGCAGGACAAGGACTCGGGAGCCCTGTTTCTCCTGACAGCCCCGAGCAGGCATGGAAGTGGGGTTTGAAAGCACAAACATTTGTTGCCAAGTCACAGTTACAATTTTCACCAATCTGAATTTAGTGATTAGGGGCTTCCTTGAATGTTCCACCATTGCCAGTCAATATACAATGCAAGCCTTTCAGTCCAACCAATCAGATTAGTTTGTTCCTTCTATGATCCAACCAGATTCATTTGCTCCTTCTATGATTATGAATAGCCATAATGTTTCTAAAACTAAAGATGCATAACAACTATTTCTATGCTTTAGAGGGGGAGGTTGATCAGCCATTGGAAAGTTCTCAGCCCCCCTAAGGCTTAGAAACCTAAACTTTATTTCACCCTGCAAGTAAAATGGAGTCTGAAGTCAAAATAGCAGTACTTAGGCCAAGGTGCTTTTGCCTGATCCCTTTACTCCCCCTTGTCTTGTGACTAATGAGATGAATCTTTGTCTAGGGGCTCAAATAGAGGGTTGTACTGTGCCCTTAGAATCATGAGCTTGACAGCACCTATGGGATCTTGAATAAAGCATGCAATGGCATTGATAACAGAGGGTACAAACAGCAGAACAAGGAACAGGAGGGTTAGGGACCTATCAGACTTGTGAGGAGGGTTGTGCCAGTTAGAACTTGGTTTTCAGGGTGGCGGTGGTGCATGCCTCTAATCCCAGCACTCAGGAGGCAAAGCCAGGCAGATATCTGTGAGTTCAAGGTCAGCCTGGCCTATAGAGTGAGATCCAGACAGGCACCAAAACTACACAGAGAAACCCTGTCTTGAAAAACAAAGAAAGAAAGAAAGAAAGAAAGAAAGAAAGAAAGAAAGAAAGAAAGAAAGAAAGAAAGAAAGAAAGAAAAGAACTTTGTTTTCTTTCCTCCACCTTAATGAGGAGATTTTCTTTTGCCGTTATTACCTGAAAGCATGGCATAAAAGCAACATGTTTCTCCCAGGGCCATGCATAAACCTCCCTCCCTAAAGAAAAGTAGGTCCAGCCCATGGCAGTTTTGCAGGACCATTTCGGCCAGCATGTCAACTTGATTTTGCAAGAAAGAGATGGGAGAATGGAGGTTAGAAATGTCTCCATAGGTTTGTTCACTTAGGACCTGCATGTTATGATCCCCAGCACTTAAAGCTGCTGTCCCAAGCGTGGTTGACCCTACAGTCCCTGCTCCTATCAGGAGGGGAACAAGCATAGGAGGTGCCCTCCTTTTGATAGTAAGCCTGTATTCCCCACATGCATTCTTCCTGCCTCCCCTTCATGACATAGGACTTGAGGCACAACATGAACTAATACACAAAGCTCAGGCTTGTCTTTCTCAGTGAAATGCCCTAGGGAGAGGCAGGGTGTCAAGCCAAGGAAAGGTATAGGCAAACCAAGCTGATGTAGGGGACACCAAGAGGGTGTTTTGGTTTAGGGAAGCCCATTCATAAACTGTAGGTTGATACTAATTTGGGGTCACCCAAGACAGGGTTAAAGCCAAGGGACAGAAAATAAGACAGGGATCAGTCTGTCATTAGTCCTATCTTTAGTGGGTTGTGCTGGCCCCAATGAACTGTCCATCTTCTTCCAGCATCTGTGCCAGATCTTTTGTCAGGAGCAGGGTTCAGGTGAGTGTGATGTATCCAGGAACGGATGCTGTTGACTTGGACAGTAGTAGGGGTAGTCAGGATCACAATGTGAGGACCTCTCCATCAGGGACCCAGAGTCTCCTTCAGATGATGTTTCTTCACCCAGACCAGGTCTTCTGTTTGGTGGTCATGAGGTTTAATAGGTGCAGAGTAATGGAAACAGTCCATCATGAGTCTTTTGTAACATCTGCATTGACTGGAGAAAGGCAAAATTTGATATGTCAGCAACTAAATCAGACCTGAGATTTGGGCAAATTAGAGGGGGCCTCCCAAACATTTTCTCATATGGAGTTAGACCCTTCATGTAAGGGGTATTTCTGACTGGGAGGAGGGCACAGGGAAGGAGTGCCATCCAGTCCTTGCCAGTCTCTAAGGTTAATTTAGTTAAGGTGGCCTTTGTTTCACCCTATTCTACTTGCTGGACTATCCCAGAATGATTGACATATAAGCAACAGGTTTCCCCAAAGGAAACTTGCGTTTGACTTAGCATTTTTCAGGCTGTTAAGGGGGCAGGGACAATGTATTCTCTTCTGTAACTGCTTCCAGTTGAAATTGGGCATAGATTGTCAGAGCCCAGGAAAGCTGAACGGCTAGTCAAAGGCTGGGCAATGGGGCATTTCTCAGAAGCCTCTGAGTATCTGATCTAGGTGAGGGGACAGGGAGCATTCACATGAGCTTTCAGCAAGTCCAGAGCTCAGCAGTTTACAGCTCACAGATGCTCCCTGGGTGGTGTCTGTTAAATCTGCTGAGACAAGTATAGACTAAGGACAGAAGTTAAAATTTAAGAGCTTAAAAGAAAATCTTATGTTTGGAACTTTTACTTCTCTGGAGTCTGTTTGACCTGTGACAGGTGAATTAAAGCATTATGACCTTTTTGACTCCATGAAGCTTTCATGAATTTTTAGTTTACCTAAGGAGATAAAAGCTCTAGATATATTAGCATTTTCACTGTACTGAAATCCACATTGTAGGAAAAAAGCAGTCAACAGGTATCTGTAAAAACAGCTGGAACAGATTTATACCTTGGAGACATAGCAAGAGCTATGGCTTTGGGTTAGCCTGATGAAATGGATCATTAAGTATATATTTAGAAGACATTCAAAAAAAATTTAAAATCTTGACCTTAGGACTGAATGGTGAGTAGTCAGTGCTCTATCAGTTTATCCAAACTTCATTTATTAATGTTAAAACTCTGAACTTCTGGAACCTCAGTGTAACAATATACTTTTAGTGAAGTTTGTAAGTCATACAGGGTGTCTAGATTAATGTCTAAGACCAATTGTCCTGTCAAGTTTTCATGATTCTTTGGCTACTGAGGGAACATACAGAGAAACATAGCCAGGAAAACCTATGGTGCACGCCTCTGAAGGTAGCTAGACCAAGCCAATTCCATGGTTCTCTGCAATTTCTTTTCTCTTTCCTATTTTCTCTGCATTATACATATTAGTATTTTGACATTTTCTATATGAACCAATTTGATTATTATCTTCTCTCCATTAGAAAGTGGGCTTTATGAGAAAAAAAAAAAACTCCATGCCAAAGAACGAATGCTTTTGAACATTTTTCTTTCCATCTAATAATTTACCAGAGATAGGAATAGCTGTTATGTTCCTTTAGTAAAATCTTAAATCTGAAACCTGTTTATTCTTTAATATGAAGCTTGTGAACAAGGCAAACCTATTTCTTAGTAGTTTTAACTAACTAATGAACAAGCTGATTGTAGCCTCGAGGGAAGGAGATGTTTGCTCACTGTTGTCTAGTGGACAAGGCCACAGTTAGCTTAGCTGTCAATATCAGATATCTGAGAAAGATTAACCAAAATGATGGAGACTAGCTAGTCCGTGATCCATACCTAGACAGATATCCCAGGCTCCTGTCGTCTAAACAAAGTGGGGCATCAATTCTCCGAATCTGCTTGTCCACAGTTTGGGCAGAGCCTTGGCAGCAGGCAAGGCACTGGGGCAGTCTCCCCCTGTAGATGTAACCAATCGTATTATTAAAATAAGAAACACAGAGCCAAGGTAAAAGAGAAAAGCCGAGAGGTCAGAGCTCAGAGATAAAATCTTACCTCCTGCAGTGCTCCTAGCTTCCCCGAGAGAGGGAGGTACTTCCTGTGTCCCTGTTTAAATAATCTTTCTGTTCTGCCTTCTCATTGGTTGTAAACCCAACCACATG